CTCCCACTTCCATCTCCGCTTGCGCCCTCCCCCATCCCCCCCTTTTTTGCACATCCACTTGCGCTTCCCCCTCTGGTTGCGCCCCACCTTCGCCCGCGTGCACGTGCATGCCGGGACACCTGCGCTGGAGCGGCACATCTGTTAGAAGATAATGCAGGTGTCCTAAGATGAGCTCAACGAGAACAGTCATCTCGTTTGGATCAAACGGACAAAAACTTATTTGATTTCGATTTCCAGTACGAATACAAACTGTGAGAGCATGGCCTATCGACCCTTAAGCGTTTCAGGACTTCGAGCTAGAGGTGTTAGGGATAACTGGCTCGTGGCAATCAAGTGTTCACAGCGACACTGCCGGTTACCGCCATCTTCACGGGCAATCATCATCATCATCATCATCATCATCATCATCATCATCATCATCATCATCATCATCATCATCGCCGCCATTGTCAACATCATCACTATCACGGCCTCTCACCTTCATTGCGCGCATTCGATCCAGCGACCTCGTCGTTCCACCGGGGGAACGATCGACAAGACCCTTTAGGGGTTGATTGAAAACCTTCCTCGACTAGGAAGGACCTTGATTGCTCCTGGCCGACCGAGAGCGCGGTATCGTCAATCTATCTCCCTCTTACTAATCCCCTCCCTTCCTCTCACCGATCTCTCTCAAACATCTCATCTTTTTCCTCTTCTTTTATCTCCTCTCCAACCCCGCTTCTCTTCTCCACCCTCCCACCTAATTGGTCTCATCATCCAAAATTTCTACTACGTGTGACACGTATCTTCCCTCTTTGTGGTTGCCTGACAATGCCGTCCATTCTGCCGTTCAGAATTTCAATCTAATTCGAGAGGATTAATCTTCATCTTCTTTTCTCCCAACGCCGTGATCGGAATTAATTTTGGCAGTCTTGTTCAAAGTTACGCAAATTTCTATGGTTTCTTGATTCTTTTCGTTATTTAATTTCTAAAATTCAATTTCGTTTAAGAAATTCTTGAAATAAATTTTGGAATTTACTAAATTCAATTCTTTTGATGTCGAATTTCCTTTTATTTTCTATCCCCCGTAAAATTCCAAAATTCTTCTATTGTTTCTGGAATTCCTTTTTGCGAGGCTTATGCCCACCCTATGAGCTTATTTCAGGCCCTGCCAAGTATCACGTCGGCCGCCCTAAGTGAAGGCAGGCACGGCGAGGGCCTGAGGGCCCCTATTTTTGTCACTACGCAACTCAAGGAAATTCAGGCAGTTGCGCAGCACCAGTTGGTTGGAAGAACCCACGCCCTGGGCAGCCTGTTTGTCAGTGTTTAAATGTATCGAAGACAGGCCCTGGGCTGGATACGGGATGTGGGCCTAACATAGTCCGTTGACAGTTGGGCGTGAGCAACCACTACAGGCCCAAGGCCTGAGTTGTGTGGAGTGGGTCTCAGCGTACGGGGGCCTACCGGAAGCTTCTTGGGAAAGGCCCAGCGCAGCCTGGGACAGTAAGCAGGCATGCCACTTCCATATAGCAAAGGGCCTGCCTCCGCATTGGGCATTCGGGTGCTGGCTGCATGCTGCGCAAGCGCTGTTGTGCTGAAGCTCGCTGGCACTCACACGCTCACGGGCGAGCAGGAAGGAGTAGGCAGCCATAGTCGAGCTACACTGTTGTAAGTTGGGTGTGGCGCAGGGTGGTCCTTGGGTGCAAGCGGCATCTGTGTGTTGGGGAACGAGGTTGTGAGTGAGGCGAGAGACATACCTGGTGCTGGAAGCGTGCGACATTGGTCGTTGTATGCTCGTACTTCAGAAAAGTTGTTGGGCTAGATAGGATCTGCCATCTGTAGTCTGGGCGCCGAGCGCCAGATACGATATCAACATTGGTTCGTCGTTGATGATGATGATGAGACTTTACCAGCATTGTCAATTATGAGCTCTTGGTGTGTTCTTATTTGCTGATGCAATTCTGCTGTTGGTTCAAGGTCACGACTATCTGGTCTTGTGTATATGATGTTGTTTGATTGCTGAGGTTCGCTATTGTTCATCTTCCTAGCAATTTGGTATCAGAGCTGTGGTAAGATTGCTCTCATCTGGCACTTGTCTTCTGCCTAATGCGGTACATACATACGGTCTGCTTGGTGAGTTGGGCCGTTGTGGCGGACCCACCAGGTGTGGTGCTCCGCCAGAGATAGAGATGGAGATGGAGGAAGAAGAGGAGCGAGATGGCACAGTGCAGCTCCCACGCCAGACTCCAACGCACGTACTCCAAGCTGTGCGAATGCAGAATGAGACAGAAAACAGACAATAGCTGGGGTATACCCCAGCGGACTGACAGTAATGGACTGGACCGGCTGGTACCGACAAAGGTACCGGCCTGGACTGGACTGCCCCGAATAGAACACAGGCCTGTGAGAACAGTCCAAGGGACTGGTCTCACAGGCCAACCAGAGGTCCGCTACACGATCCTCAGCACGCTTCCGCCAAAAAACGGAACTCTTTCAAAGGAAAAAGAAAACCTGAGTAGTCTAGGATGCGGAGCAAGCTCCATGCTGAGTCCATGCGATGCAACCTAGGATAGAAAACGTCACAAAAAAACAGCAATGTCACAACTAACATCCTAAGTAAAAGCAGAAGCAACTAACTAGCATACATGTCCTAGGAAAGCAGAAAGACTGAGAAAGTAATGACAACTAAACCCTAGAATGTTGGAGGCGGTAGCCTCAGTCTGGAAACAGCTGACTAGTGTGTAAGCCCTAAGAATAGCAAAAGCAAAACAACTAAATCCTAGAAATGTCAGAGGCAGTAGCCTCAGTCTGAGAGCAACAAAGCAACAGCAAGACAACCATATGTCACAGGAGAAGCGTGTCGCAAACCAAAGGGTGGAATGGTCTCTGAGGGTGGCGAATGCAGCCTACGGGTCGATAACTCCTAAGGGCATCCACA